ACACCACTAGGAGAAGACTTGTAATAACTCTTTATCCAATCCGCAGGATAAGCTAAATCAAGGCAGATGTGACCGAGTCGGGCTGACCGTAAAACTGTAATCCCCAAACACCTCTATCTCGTTTCTGAATACACTTAGGTGTGTCCTTTGTCCTTAGAACTTGACCCTGGAATAATATCTTTGGGCTCTAACATTTCCATACTTAGTGGTATGTTACTCTTTGTTCTTATGCACCCATCGAGTTTACTTAAGTGAATTTAGGAAGCAGTTGTCGACCTCAAAGGAACCATTCACTTCAAAGCTCATAACTGACTGAGTAAAAGCGCTGAAAGAAAAATACTGTTCTTCAGTAAATACAATTTGTTTTAGAATCGCATCATTGAATAAAATCTCGCATTCTGATTGGTCAACGAAGCGAGGTATTTAGCGTGGAATTGCGAGTTGTAAACGAGGCTAAATGAAATTGTTTCGCATCTACGTAAGCATAACAATTTTAAGTAATGCTGTTTCCTTTTTTTTTCTCATTTTGATTCCGTTATGCGACTCAAGGAAAATCCATTACTTAACTCGTGAATTCCGTATTAAATTGCACGCGAAAACCGATATCGCACGAATCGCTTCGCGATTCGTGCGATGTCGGTTTTCGCGTGCAATTTAATGCGGAATTCCCTCGTCAAGTAATGAATTTTCCTTTAAAATGGAGTTATCGATGTCGATGAAGTTTGGTTTTTTTCTTTCCCTTACATGGTCAAGATATTGATCAAGTTAGTCGGTACGATTACTGGAAGCATCGATCAAGGAAGCATTTTCGCTTTTACGAAGGGTTTTCTTCGGTTTCCTGGCAACACTTAGGTTCTGATTGCTCACATCATTCTATAACAATCAAACTGCTAAATAAGAACAGGCGAGGACACAAGAAAACGAAAGTTTACCCTATAACATTTTCATCGTTATTATTACTATTGTTGTTGTCGTCATTATTATCATTATTTTAATAAATTTTTTTGCATTGTAAATGCTATAAAAATCTATATGAATTATTGATACAAGACAACTTAAGATCGTATTTTAATTATCAAGGAACAGCTTGCAAAAGACTGTTTCGCACTAGGAACGCTACGGCGATCTGATGTCCGAGATAACCGCGAGTATTTTCTAGACTGATTCGTCGATAAGGTATTTCGAATTCATTCTCTTTGCAGCCATAGTTATAACACATACGAGATAAGAAAACTAGATATATAGATTCCCTTTTCAGCTTTACTATCTCATCAGGGGTATTCAGCTGATAGCCATATCAAAGAGCGTTTCATTAAGGGTTCAACTATTTGGCAAAGCAAAATTAACGATCTATCATCCAAATTTGAAAGATAGGGTCAATTTTCTTGAAATTTCGGTTTTCTTCTAGATGGAAAACTCTTGAAAATGGCTTCTATTTTGGCTCACAAAGGTAGTAAACTGTCTTAAACTGAATACCTTACGTTTTAAACGTACGTGCTTGTATTTATTTTTTGTTAGACTTACTTTTGTTTACTATTTAATTTTACAGTGCTTTTGAGAGTCATATTSAAAACTGAAGTAAATTTCAATTGTCTGCAATCGTTAGGGTATAAGCTAGTTGAGTTTTATATAGTGTGCCCTTCAGAGAAGATCACACAATGGGAACTTCAAGGGAAGTTAAAACCATCTGCTGACATGTTCGATAGGGAAGAGGCTAGTTGGGTTGTATATAGTGTGCTCTTCAGAGAAGATCACACAATGGGAACTTCAAGGAAAGTTTTAACCATCTGCCGACATGTCCTATATTTGGGATACTCCTATGATTTTTCGAACGTTTTGCTTACAGTTTCATTTTCAAAGCCATTTGTAGAATAAGTGACTAGAACATCCATGTACATGTTCCATTTTGTGTTCTCAGTCAAAGCGATGGCTATCAACAAAATAATTTTTCAAGACGAAGAAGCGCTGAGTT